TGAGAGAAACAGATTTGCGTCTCAGAACAGGGGGCACTTAGGACACCCGTGGTACTTTATTTTAAACAAAATAAAATACCACGGGTGTTGTTCCAGTTTCCAAATATTTTTAGCTAAAATTACACTGATAAATCTAACAAGCAGGGCATGTTTGCCACTGTGGTGACACTGTGTGGATGAGTTGCAATGGTCAGTACAGGGGACAGAAATTTGGTCTTTATGGGCTTTCTCTCTAAGGCTGCCAGCCTGGGAAAGCTTGGTCAAGACAGAGCCCATTGATCCAATGGTTTATGGAAGCCAGTTGGAATCTCCTGACCTTACTTCTGTGGTGAGCAAAATCTAGAAATATTTGGTATTGCTTGCTAGTCACACCATCCTAACTTTTATGGTTGCCTTTAAATTGGTGGTAAAGTGACTTCCTCAGCTGCAATATTTTTATTTTAAAAGAATATTGTGAAACTGCTACAGAAGATATGCACAGTAAATATATCAGAGAAACCAAATTGTAGACTGTTTTATCACTTTACACCCACATGACCTCTCTAGTGATTTCGTGCTCCTCTTTCTTGTACATCTGCATGATCCTTTCTGTAAGAGATATGATCCTTCCATAGCATGTGAAATTCTTTAGTTTTGACATTTTTAAATAAGATTTCCATATGAGCCAAGTTCTGCCATGTCAACAAACCAACTTTCTAAAATTGGGTTTGTAGTTCTTTACTTTTTCATTTTCTACCTCCTGAAGATCAATTTCTTTGCAAACGGAAATGAAATTAGAGTGTCTGCTTGGGTTTCTGTAGTCCAGCATACTGAAGAGACTCATTTGGGAGGCATTGTATCCTTTTCTGGTAATTTATGAGTCCATGTTTTAGGTTTATAAATCCTCAAATAACAGATGCTACATATAATAGATACACAATGCACAACAGCATGCAGCAGGATTCACTGGTAAAAAAAAAAAAATTGTATTCTACTTAACTAGGGCCAAATCCCATGTTGGAGGGACACATGGGGCTTCCATTAAGGCAGAATTTGGCCCTGTATATTTTTTTTCCCCATTAGGACCATGTTAATACTTAAACCATTTCTATTTCACTGTGATGTTCCTTCCTTTTTATGAATTCAGCAGTTCAGGAACTGTATGTGCTAGAATACAGCCAAATATAAACATTTTCAGGATGGTCAAAAGAGACAAGGGATGGAAAAAGAAACTCTATTATGGCCTAGGGAAATCAATGCAAATAGCTGCAGTACAGAAGCAAGATAATGGAGAGAGAGAGACTATAATTCTGACAGGAAAAAAAAGAAAACTATATTTTCTGGCTTAGGAGAGAGCTGAAATCTAGTGCAGCGGCAGGTTTATTAGAATATGTTTTTTGGTTATTCTGACCTTTAGAGGGAGTGGTATAAACTATCCTGTGACTTTCTTACACAGTCAGTAAGCATGTACCAGCTCCATATAGCTACTTCAGTAGGTTACTGACAGGTCATGAACATTTTCTAAGCAGGGCAGAAACCAGGACGGGGATTAGGGAGGAGCACTTTGGGATGTGCAGTCCTTCTCAGTGAGGTGAGGACTCCTGTGCATTAAATCCATGTTTCCATTTCAGTAGTCACCCATAAACCTTGTTTCTTCCCTTCCTGTGCTACCTACTCTAAGACTAGGGACAGACATTCAAAAAGCCTGAGCCTGACTTGATTCAGTCTTTGCAGGTTAGTCTAACCTGGCTAGGCTAAACCAGTTTGTAACCAAACAGACATCCCCTGGGCTCCCCCTGTGGGGAGGGGGCAGTAGAACATTCCTACCTTCCCTCCCACAGTGTTGATCTGGGGGGGCGTGGCCGGGCCCCAGCAGGACTCTCTGATTAGGGAGGGGTTCCCCACCCCCTCCTGACCAGCCCAGCATGGAATTGATAACACAGCATTTATCAGCCCTAACTTAGTGTTTATTGCCCCATTAAGAAAACAACAGAGGGATATTACCAGCTACCTGTTGATTCTGCTTTGTCCTGTCTGCCACAGCATGGACCATAGCCAGCATGTGGTCTGCTAGCTAATGCTGTGTGTCTGTGTAAGGCAGAGGGGACGGCCAAGTCCCTGCCTAGTGGGGAGGTGGGGGGGAAGAAGCCAGGCAGATGCCTGCAGTCTCTGCCGGAGCTGCAGCCAGGGAGCAGAGGGGAGGGGCCAGCCCCACCCAGCCCAGAGAGATTGCCAGGATGCGGGGGGAGTCTGATTTAACTTAAACCAGCAAGGGATCTGGGACAGACATTGCATAAACCAGATGGACTCAAATCAGTTGTCTGATACTGCATTCAACTAGGTTTATCTCAAACCCGTTTCACCCATTTTCAAACTGATTTATGTGCACTGAACATCTATTCTGTTACAGATTTAAACCAATTTCTGATCACTTAAACTGGTTTATGTTTGATGTCTGTCCCTAGCCTAAATCTATACTTACTTGCCATGCCTTTGTCATTCACAGGAAGCAACAGGGTAGCTAGACTCAAAAGGCAAACGTCTATTTCACCTAGTGGGCAACTAATGTGCAGCTCGTGATTGACTCTGAGCTATACAACTAAAGTGTAGGAGCAATTCTATTACAACCTCTGGGCACATAAGTGCCCCTATTATAAGACCATTGATCATCCTCCAGAGACGCAGTAGAATGAATTGCTCCTACACAATAGTTGGATAAATGAGAGACCATTACAAGCTGCACTTTGGCCATCAATTTAGTGAAACAGAATTCTGCCTGAGGGCAGTTTAAAAATATTACTTTTTGTCAAAGGTGTATTTTGTGAAGTGTGGGGTCAAGGGGGAGGTCCCATAGCCATCAGAGGAAAGGGCTCTTTGCTCTACGGACATCTTCTCTTTGCTTCATTTCAGAGCTGTCACGTGGGCACACTTCTAGAGTCTGTGCTGTCCATTTAGTTTCTGCCATTGTCAGCTAGTCTGGGAGAAGTGCTTCTTCCCAGGGTGTCAGGAAAGCGCTGCCTTCTTTGGCATTGCCCTTGGTTTCCTGGCAGCCAGGAACGAGTTATGGCTTCCAGCAACAACATAGCGATTGTCAGCCATAAGTTATCTGGGGTAGTTTTAGTTTCCTTTTACATGGGATTTTTATTTGTTTTTGTTTTCTTAATGTTTTGGTTCAGCTGGTTTAAATGTACTCTACTTCTCTTTTTACTGTTTTTCCTGCCTCATGATGCTCTTCATGTTCATTCTTTCCACTTCCTCCTTCCCTTTGTGCCTATTTCTACCCCATCCCTGCTGCTCTTTTTTCCATCCATCCTTATCATCCTTTTCTGCTGTCACTTTCCCTTACTTTGCTTCTTTAAGGTGAAAAAATATTTCCCTTACTCCAAAAAACTGAATTAGAAATAGGTTAATGTAACGTACTTGTTTTTTAAAAATAAGGGTGACATTCTGGATGTATCTTAAGCTAATGAGTAAACCTCATTGGCTTCATAAAGGATAGGATTGCCACCTATAATTGGGTCTCATTCACTCACTGAAAGGTCTGAGTCCTGTGCAGAGCATACCAAAATGATCACATCAGCATCTGGCCTGCTGACAAGTGACCCTGTGGCTTGCAAAGGATTACTGCATCTGATTTGGTGTTTTCAAACTGAACCCTTTCAACTAGTTTCACCTCTTCCTACCTAATGTTGATTTATTATTGTATTATATACCACCAGGAAACTCTATCCAAGGATCAGGGCCCCATTGCACCAAACACTCTCTACAGATATATCTAAAAAACAGTCTATGTCCCAGAGCATTTATAATCTGTGTTTCAGACAAGAAGCACAGGTGGATAGTCAGGAAAAGAAGTACGAGATGTCAAAATGAACAAGGTTTAGCAGCATGCTAGAAATATCCAAAAATGTTACGAAATTGCAGACAAAAGGGCCTGGGCTTGCTTTAGCCAGATCCCTTTAGTTTTGCCTGTGGGAAGCCTCTAAAACTAGGCATAGGAAAACCAGTTTCAGGCCATGGACAGACATACTCTTGTGGCACTACACTACAAGTGCCCTGGCACTAAAAATATAGTGGTACTAGGCACAGATAGAGCAGAGCTAGGTACAGAGCTCTATCTGAAGTGCTATAAAGTGCTGTGGAGGCATTCAATGGCATGCTTTCCAGCCAGGGAGTGATAGGAGTGGCTTAGTCCTGTGGCTCTGTGCTTCCCACACCTGGCAAGCAGGGCTGCAGCTCCCTGGGCATGGGTTATCAGTAAGTGTGAGACTAGACCAGGCTCACCATGGGCCAAGCCAGTCTCAGTCCTGCACTCACTGACAGCTTAGTCTTAGGGAGAAGCAGGCTGCTCCTAGAAGGGTGGGCAGATGGATACTGCTGGATACTGGGAGAGTGAGAGACATGTGGAACTATGGTGCACTGGACAGATGTTACATTTAGTGCTATAAAATACAGTGCTACAGAAAAAATTGTTTAATCCAGGAACATTTTTGTAGTGCTACAGGAAACATGCATGTCTGTTCTCTTGACTTCTGTAGCCCCCCTCTAAAGCCTCTGAGGCAAAAAATAGCAATTAAGGTGTAAAAGTAGGGGCATTAAGGAATGCTTTTGTATACAGTTTTCAGTGAGTGAACAGTGTATGGTGAGTAACATTGGTTAACCTTTTGGAAATCAAAGGTAGTGAATAAAAAATGGTTACTCTCTCTCTCCAGAATAAAGAAACTCTTTCC